CTGCAGGTGGCCAACGAAACTGATCCCCAAGTCGAACGCCATACTCGGTGTAACTCCTAACTTTGACCAATGTCACATAAATTAAAAAGACTGGAGGACATTCGCTATGTGCTCGAGAAATCAGTAAACAAAGTTTACTTATGCAACAACGCGGGATGCCCTCGGTAGAAAGAAAATTTACTGCCATTTGGAAAAAGGCAAAAGGTTTTTTTAAATATATACATTTTAGTTTGTACATTTATAAACATCTCCAAGGGCTTCTGGAAACGATCTGTCTTCACCATTCCTGTTTTACAGGAGTTCCGAAAGCAACTCAAAAAAACGTTTACCTAAATACTGAAGATGAACCCTGATCTGGTGTGTTCGACCGGTGACAGGCAAACACAAGATAAGCGAATGTTTCCCATCGGTGCACAACCGCTTGAATGTTGTACAGCAGGCTTTGCCATCAATGGCTGCCTGCTGAATGCCCATATTTTTATGAAGAATTTTCAGTGGCTGCTCACACGTCACTTCGTCACTAAATGTTGAGCATAAATTAAAGAAATGAAATAAATATACCAGAAAATGAAAATCGATAAATGCAGCATGTCTGAGCGAAGGCAGTCATAAAAGATAATTGAAAGATAACACAATATGCCATTCTATCTCTATATGGCCACAGCAAAATTCCTATCTAACCTTTTCAATGCCCAATGATTCAACCATCAATTTGAAGTTATCTGTATAATGTAACGACATTCACTTGCTTATTTTTACAGTCCGGTGCTCCCTACAGCCTTGAGGACAGCAAATTTTTGAAGTTGTTTCAACATCTGTGATTCAATGACACAGATTCTGCAGATTGATAAACAGATGGTACCTTTATCTCAGCATCATGAAAATAAAATTAAGACAAGCAGATAAATAGGTAAAATCAATCTACGGTTTCGAAAACTTGAAAGGCGAAGCTGACAAATCATGCAACACGTCCTTACTGCATGACTTACGTGATTAAATAATTTTCATTTTACCAGCAGGTCGATC